GCGAGGAGGAGGGCTTTTAAAGTGCCGCCCGAGCAAGACCGCCAAGCCGGGAAACGGGGCACCAAGGCAGGGCAAGGCTCCACCAGCAGTGGCCTAGCTTTAGGTGGCTCCAAGCAGCCCGCTCCAAGCAGCCCACCCGCCCGCCGAGCGGAACCCTTCCCGCTCCTCGGCAGGAAGACGCTCCCGCCTGCAAACTTTGCCTTTGCAAAGTTTAAGCCTGGAAGCCCTGGGAAAAAAAGGGGGGATCGGCGGGGACTCACCTTCGGAGAGGTCGCACTCAAAGGTGATTTCAAACTCCCAGCCGAGGCCTTTGCAAAGTTCTTTTCTTTCCTACCCCGAGAGCACTCCACACTGTTCTGCAGCTTTGGGGGCCACACGGCGCAGGGCAATATGCCACGCCCAGTGATTTTTTTTCAGGGGTGGGCCGGATTGGACAGACCAACGGGCCGGATGCGGCCCGCGGGCCGTAGTTTGCCCACCCCTGCCCTAGAGGAAAATTTAACTACATTGAAGGTAGCATCTGCTGAAAACTCTGCAGCAGCGATTAATTTAGCCATATCTTGATGTGCCCTAATGTTTGAGCCTGGAATGGTATCCCTCAGGTGGCGGAGCCATCTGAGAGATGATCTGGTGAAAAAGGAGGCAGCTGTGGCTGCTCTGATGGCCCATGCATCCAAGATGTGTGCCCTGCAGAAGACTAGTTCCGCCCTCTTTTCCTCCGGCTTGAGAGCTTCTTCAGCTTCACTTGGGACGGCTGAGGAAGATGCAAGTGCAATGATAGGCTCATCCACTTCCAGAGTGTTTAGAAATTTAGAGAACTCGGGTGCCAAATTATAGTATTTTTTATCATGTCCTGTGGGAGCGGGATATGAGGATTTATTCAAATTATATGCAGCCCATTGTTTTTGTATTAAATTGGAAAACGTGTGGCACAGGGATAACCTCTGCCTCAGTGACTGGTTGAGAGAATATGAGATCCTCTGCTTCCCCTGGAGTATTTGGTGGGATAGGGTTAGGGAGGGGTACCCATATTATCCAGCCGTGCGGTGTTCTTGGCCTTAAACAGCAGGGATTTAAATAATTGTGGGCGGAATAATCCTGTAAATACGGGGAGGTCAGGTGAGAGGCCTTCATCGTCAGACATCTCCCTTTCTAGTGGATCCACCTCTGACAATACCTGGTCAACGTTGTGTACCGACCCCTCCTCCATTTGATCCATTGGATCCCCTTGATCTGCCATATCCTTTGTGTACTGAGGGTCTCTGACAGTGGGCAACGATAGTTCTGAGGGGGGGTACCTGATGAAGATGTGGATCCGTGATGCCCAGAGATCGTTCAGAAAGAGATCTGCAAACCGAAGCTGAGGGTGTTCGTCCTGCCTGACTAGCCTGTTGGACACCTGCTGCTATGCCCTTCTGAATAGCTAGCTCCATCCACGCCCTCATGTTGGCAGGGATTTCCTCCGGAGGTTCCTCCTCTTGTCTGAGGCCAGCTGCAGTTGGTGTAAATGTTGCCTCTGGGGCCCTCCTTGGGGAGAGAATGTTAGAAAGAGCCTCCTGGGGAGGTTGTATCAATTTGCTGCTCCTTCTGGATAAATCCAGAAGGGCGGTTGGAGGGTTCTGGGCCTGTGAGGTAGAGGGTATGATGAGTGGTGAAGAGGTGGGCTGCTCGTGTACATTTTTCCACCTGCCTTTTGAATGCCTGATGGCATCTGCATGCATCTTTCTCTGCTGCCTTAGAAGTCTTTTGGGGCTCCGTGGACTTATCTCTATTTTTAGCAGTTAGTCTAGATCTGGAGTTGTAGCTGCTGGCCATGGTAATGCCTTTGATAGCAATGGAAAGAGGCTATGAAATTAGGTAGCTGGAACACCTAGGGGCCTGCTCCCTTAAGGGGCAGGGGATCCTGGAATAAATAGTTCCCCGGTGCCTTTAACAAATGTTGTCTCCTTGTTCTGTTTTGCTTTGTTATCTATTTATCTATATTTTAATAACTTAAAAATTTGTAGAATTTAAGTCAATCAAGTCAATTTTTGAATAAAGTACTTGTAATATCAAATATGGAGACCAGAACACCCCCCTCCAGACCTGGCACCTATATGAGGGCACAGAGGTCTGTAACTGATAATTAGATCAGTTTAGCTGCACTTATTGCCTGTGGAATCCAGCAGTTCAAGTCCTCTATCATCCAGTGGACTAGTGGCAGGGACTCCTCCTTCCCAGGTCCCCAAAAAGGGAAACCTTGTTCGGTAACATTCCTCACTGACAGTAACAATTACTCAGCAAATTTAACCACGCGGTCTTTAAAATGCTGGCTGCCTCATGGCAGAATGAAAATGAAAGCAGCTATCACCGCCTGACCTGCTGAAAGCAAAACCGCTCAGTGGGAAGGCGCAGGGGCTAATTTCCTGCCCTGAGATGTTCTGTGGGGAAAGTCTCGTAATAAAAAGGAAAAAAGGCTGCACTTTTAAATGGAAGCTTCAAGCCTCAAAGGGACAGAGCGTTTACTCAGCCGGCTGGGAGATCAGAGAGATAAGCCTCCTTGTTTAGAAGTTTAAGGCAGCAAGCCTCTGAAAGGAGAGGCTTTTAGCCTCAGGGCAGATTGGACAGATAAGCCTCCCTGTTTATGAGGCTTTAGCCTCGGGAGGCTGGAACGTAAAAACAAAACAAAAAAACGAGCGAAATGACTTTTGGAGGTTCCTGGGGGGTTGGTGACAGAAACTATGGTATTACCTGACCTGAGAAATAAATCAGCTAAATCGCCAGTGTTCTGTTCCGACCACGAAAACAATAACACAACCTGTCTGAAAAAAGGCTGAGCTAAAACTGGGGACGCTAAGGAGGAGTCTCGTGGAGGAGGAGGAGTGTCCTCAAGTTTAAGCCCAGCCTTCCTAGAAGGGACTGAAGCACCTTCCCATCACTGGATGCTCTGAACAGCTCATGGGAGAACTAATTTATAATAATTTATTTATAATTTTACTGGCATTACACAGTAAAATCTTAATCATTTTTTAAAAGGGCAACAAGTGTCCTTTAGATCATATTTGGAATTTTTAATCCTCTAATTGATTGAATATCAGCCTTTATATTTCTGGAATAAGATACTGTTTTATTGTATTATGGATAGGAGTTGAAATAAAATACTTGAGGCATGAAATTGGAGAAAGCTAATGTAAGTATTTGATGAGAATGGAGGCAAAGAACATTCAATTTTTCTGCTCACCTCTGACTTTGTCTTTACCATTTTTTTGAGTGGGTCTTCCAAGAAAAAAATGATTGCTTATTCAAAGAGTTCTGCAAAAATGTTCATTGCTAACACATACACACTCACAAATACATAAGCTCTTTCCATAACATGCAACTATTAATCTGAACAATAAAAATTGCAATACATTTGATGTACATATTTCCGAGTTACCAATTTGATCAATTTTTCTGAGTGTCTATCACTATTCTGCCTGAATCTTTTTACTGATAGTGATACGATACTGAGTTGTAACATAATTTCTAAATTACAAATCCTAACTTCCAGAGAAGTGTGTGATCGTGTTTGGGAAAAATATTCTTGTAGCATATTGACCAAAATGTGCCAGTACTGAGAGTACTGTTCTTATTATTAAAAGGCAATGCTGCATGTGGCATTGGTATGACTAAGCCTAGTGCTTTTATTATATTACAAAGCATTATGTGAAAACTGTGATTGATCAAAACCATGATGGGCAGCAGACGTTATTCTATGGGCCCACCAGGTGATAAACCATAAAATATGCAAGACTGTAACATGCAATCCAGGAAAAAAAGGTTTTACTATATGATATTAATAGATGAGTAGAAACAAGAGACTATGGAAAATACTATTGGGCCATTTAGAGTCGCAAAAATGAATGGCAATAACAATTCCTTTGTGAGTATTTCCTTAGAAAAAGCTCTGTTCAAAAATGATTTATGCATAAATCTATTCATGCATACACATGGATAAAAAAGAACTGAATTTATTTAACTTGAATGCTTAGGAAGATAAGAGGTTCTGAATATGAAACAAGCTATTTTTGCCAGCTAAGAGTGAATCTTGGGAAATATAGACATTGAAGAAATGTAAGAAATAAGTGTGGAAATAAGGTTACTTCAGAAAGAGAAAGCAATTATGAAAATGTATTAGAAAATAGGTTATCTTCCCAACTGAATAAATAGAAAGTGAATATTAAAAGAAAGGAAAACCGTTGTGGCATAGTGGTTAGGACGCAGCATTGCAGGTAAACTCTGCCCACTGCCAGGAGTTTGATCCTGACCGGCTCAAGGTTGACTCAGCCTTCCATCCTTCTGAGGTCAGTAAAATGAGGACTCAAGATTGTTGAGAGCAATATGCTGACATTTGTAAATGTCTCTTATTGCTCAGAGCATGCTGTAAAACACTATGGAGAGGTGTATAAATCTAAGTACTATCACTAGTGCTTATATAAAAGCTTCCTGGAAATGATGGGAAACAATTATATCACTAAGTATCACTGGAGTATGAAGGAGCTTAGGGAAATGTAAGTAGCACTGGTTGAAAAAAATGAATGTAAGAGCAGTCATCATTATCCCTAACGATGGAGAGGGTAAGCATAACTTGGCTTACTTGAAAGATAACAGCAAAATTAGGATGTAGTTAGTTATGCATGTACCCATGGATAGGAAAATATACTATTGAAAATTGTATTATTTTTATTCAATATTATGATTAATGCAAATAACCAAAGCATCCTGAATTATCAATATAACAACTAGAAGCACTGGAAATGTGTCCACTCAAAGGGACTTTGGGTTGGACACACAGTGCTTCTAGTTGCTATATGGATAATTAGTGAGTATTCTGAACATGTCCCAACTGCATCTGAGCTTGCCCATTCCTGGTATGGCAACATGTCTCTGAAATTTCCTTCCTGACTAAATGTGCTCTGTGCTATAAACTGGCATAGAAAATATATGATAGGACCATAAATCATTCTACTTTCATAGATTACCGTATTCATGTCCAAAGTTTCATCAATCATCTTTTGGAAATTGGAGAAATCACAATTTAGCTCTTTAAGAGGTTTTGTGAATACCGCATCTAGTAGCATATTGCGGTTTCCTGTCAAAAGATAAAACACATAGAAAAGAATCGCCAATAAGTAAACTGACTGACAATCCTACTTGAATTTATCAGATATGTTTAAATAGTTTAGCAGCTGTTATAGCAACTTACTAAATAGTTTTGAGAACCAGTTTGGCGCAGTGGTTAAAGCTCCAGGCTAGAACTAGGAGGCCATGAATTTTAGTCTTGCCTCAGGCTTGAAGTCAGTTGAGTAACTTTCAGCCAACCTCTCTCTCTCAGCCCAGGGAAGAAGACAAGGGTAAACTACTTTTAAGTCTTGCCAGAAGAACTACAGGGAAAACCCAGGCAGTCTTCAAGAATCAACAATAATTTGAAAGGGGAAAAATAATAATTTACAGAATTATACATTTAACTATATGGTTGTTAATAGCAAGAATTTTAACACTTTTGTGGATTCCCAAAGTCTTGATCAGCTTAGCATTTTTCCCCTTTTCATAAGGAATCCTGAATCATATCAATCCAAATCTAACATGAAAACTCAGAGACTTTGTAATCCAGGCATTTGGAATGTAACCCTACTCAATATGGAAAGTCATGTATATATATAAGTACCATGTATATATTTTGGACTGCTTTCATTATATCTTGAATAGGAAGGACAGAAAAGTGCAAATTATTTTTTAAATTAGTATTGCTTAAGGAGTCTATTTCACAATTCTGAAAAAAACCTAATTTGTTCATAATTTGTTCCCACAATGTAGCACAATACTGTAAATTACTTGCATGCCATTAATGGAACAGGTGCAAATCCTGATTTACTGTAAAACATTGTTCTGTGTCACAGATAACAGTCCAACAGAGAAGGGATAAAACTATTCAGGTGAGAAGCTGAGTCAGAAAGAATTTTTCTTTCTCTGCCCTTAGAACGAAACTCTCTTTTACAATTATTTATCACAGCAGTAACAGAGACCACAGAAAGAGAGTTAGTATAGCAATATTTCTTAGGTTTATAGTACTCCCTGCAAGACCAATGATTGGATTCAGGAAGCCAATCTATCAATCTTACGATGTCAGAAAAATACGGAACGGTGAGCCCAAGTGAGTTCAATTTGGCTCCTAGTGGTATCCTGCACACGTATGTGTAACATTATATAGCTATAGGATGGGGAGGCAGGAATCCTTCTGCTCCAAAGAGATGCAAAAGGCTCCTTTGGACCATTTATTTGGATACCGAGTACATCAGAGATGTCAAACTCATGGCCCACAGGATGGATGCGTCACGCGCTGGCCAGACCCACCCCATTTTAGCGAAGAGGGGGAAAGTTGTGATATGTCACGTGAAAGTTTGACGCTCCTGGAATACATATGCTCCCTGGCATTTTCCTGTCTTCAAGGTCAGCTCCTAAAGAAGCTGTCTATTTTACCTGCACCAAATCAGGCTTCCTAATAGGAATGTACAGACAAAAATTTGGGGTCAGAAAACAGATAATCAGAGTTGGAAGAGACCTTGTAGGTCATCTAGTCCAACCCCCTGCCCAAGCAGAAGACCCTACACCATTTCTGACAAATGGCAGTCCAATCTCTTCTTGAAAGTCTCAAGTGATGGCACTCCTACAACTTCTGAAGGCAACTTCTGTTCCATTGGTTGATTGTCCCCACTGTCAGAAGGTTTCTCCTTATTTCCAGGTTGAATCTCTCCTTGTTCAGTTTCCATCCATTATTCCTTGTCTGCCCTTCGGGTGCTTTAGAAAATAGCTTGACCCTTCCATGTGTGGCCAGACTCTCAATACAAACAACATAAGCTGTGTAAGAAAGGGAGGTAACCTTTGTAGAAATATGCAATAACCATCATCTAGATAAAGGGGCTGAAACATTCTTTAAATCCTGGGAAACACAGCTCAAGCAAATGCTTCTCTGATTCTCTGATCTGGTCTATCTGGTAGGGCTGATCAATTTTATAAAGCAATTTCTGTTTCTATTCAACCTTAGGAGTTTCTCTAATGCTGTAAAATAAATACAGGTAGTCCTCGACTTACGACCACAATTGAGCCCAACATTTTTGTTGCTAAGTGAAACATTTGTTAAGTGAATTTTGCCCCATTTTATGACCTGAAGTGAATCACTGCCATTGTTAAATTAGTGACACCATTGTTTAAGCGAATCTGGCTTCCCCAATGACTCTGCTTGCAAAAAGGTCACAAAAGATGATCGCATGATCCTGGGACATTCAACCATCATAAATATGAATCAGTTGCCAGACATCTGATTTTTGATCACGTGACCATAAGGATGCTGCAACGGTTTTAAGTGTGAAAAACAGACATAAATCATTTTTTTCAGTGCTGTTGTAACTTTGAACAGTCACTAAATGAACTGTTGTAAGTCAAGGACTACCTGTACTGTTTGCCTGGATTAAATGCACTTTGCCAATTACTAATATAACCCCCTAAAATCAACCATATAAATGATGGGGGCAATAACAGGCTAGCAATGAATACTACCATAACATTTTCAGAGGAACAAAGAAAATTAAGAGAATAAAATCCAGAGAGACTTTTAAAACTATTCTGTAAATAAGTAATAAACAAAGTATATTCAGTGGCTACAGCGTTTTGACTTGAGCAAAAAGATAAATATAACAGAGCCCCTTGAAGAAAGTATGACTGATTGGCTGACATCGTCAATTTACTTTCACACTATAAATTTCTGCTCAGGATCCTATTTTTAAAAGCCAATACATTTCTGAATTTTATGATTCCAAATGCATGTTATAAAGATTTTAACAGATAACAAATCTGACATTTTTCATGCTGCCAAATTAAAGATCTTTACTAAAATGCCATTTAATTTTCTCAGCTACAGTACTGGCATATTTAAATCAGATGGGTTATTTTTGCAGAAGTTAGAAGGTTCACCTTTTGTTCACTTAATGAACAGTCAGGTCTTTATATTTGCCATTTGATGTAGATTCAAATAGACATTTATTATATTGAAAGGGAACAGCTTGGTCATTCAGTTCAAGCTGCAAGAGAAATGTCCAAAAGATTAGAGACTGTAGTGCACTTGGACAATTCATATAATAAAGCAACAGTTCTTGTACATGGCCTTTTAAAAAACCAATTTGTTTTCATTCAACTTAATAGCCAGGAATTTCCATCAGATTCTGGTTCATTCTTGGACAAAGTTAATGTATTTTGCCACATCCTACAGACATAGAATGTCATTAAGCCTTTGTTTGAACCGTATCAACAAGTTTGAATAATTTGTTTTCTTTTCAATATCTCACAACAATCAATTCCAAAATTACTTAAGGTTGCCTTGTATAATAGAATATTCATCATGAAAGTTTCCCTTTCTTATTATAAATATTTGGACTGTGTCTACATGTAGACTTCAACTCCAAGAGTTGTCATGGCCATGATGTCTGGGGAATTCTATGAGTTGAAATCAATGCACCTAGATAGCGTTAAATTTGGGAAAGATTTTTCCAGACCCAGAATGTCAGTTACCTTCAGTCAAAAATCACTTTGTTGGTATACATCTGATCCCTTGGATCTCTGAGTACAGTAAGAAGTCATCAGGTGACTAGATAGCATTCTTATATGTCTAACTCTACAACACAGTAGGTTCCAGTGCTTCTGACGGGTGTGTTTGTTAATTTGCAAGTGACTATGACACTTCCTAATAGATGCTGACAGCTTCTGACTTATTCGTTTATTTGATGGCCAAGCTGGAAATTTCGGATGTTCTGCCAAGATTTTTAGTCTCATACTCTCTTAGTCAAAAACAAATGTTTTAACTTTCACAACTAAATTAGATCTGCTCCCCATGTATAAATTAATCAGTCAGGGCTTCATTGGCTACTAGCAATAGCATTTAGACTTATATACCACTTCACAGTGCTTTACAGCCCTCTCTAAGTGGTTTACAGAGTCAGCATATTGCCCCCAACAATTTGAGTCCTCATTTTACCCACCTCTGAAGGATGGAAGGCTGAGGTAACCTTGAGCCATTGAGACCTGAACTGGCAAACTGCTGGCAGCCGGTGATCAGAAGAAATAGCCTGCAGTACTGCATTCTAACCACCCCAGCTCTATTTCTCTATGAACAGGAGTCTATCTATATCAACCCCTTCCAGATTGCTCAAAACCATTTTAGTATAACAAATATTGCTAGTTCTTTGTGGACAATGTGCTATAGAGGTTTCTAGACAAACAGTATTAGGACTACATTTTGAATAAAAGATAACTAATGGTTGTTATGATCAACCAAAGAATGCTATATTTTGGCTTCACCTTATTCTAAAGCCAACATACCAATTTATATCTTACTCTTTTTCCCCCTCCTATTTCTATTCATCTTTCCTTGTTCACACTTGATCAATCCTGAGTTACAAATATTTCTAAAGATTAGCCTCCCAAACCTGCTTTGTTATTATTCTAAAATTCTGTTTTTTATTTAGCAAATTAAATTTCTCCTTCTTCCTCTCTTTGTATTACCACAATTTGGAACAGCATGCCAAACTACATAGTAAGAATTATTACACAAATATTGCTGGTTCTTTGTGTGTGTTTTTATTTTGCATATGGAAAACTTGACTGGCTCTTTAAAAAAACAACTCTTTCTTAATTTGGAAAAAGGCATACTTAACACAAGAAAGATGTAATTATAGGTTCACTGGACATACAGGTAACTTCATGTGTATATGTAAATAAGTTCATGTAATAAGAGTCATGACTGACACAAAAGCATAGCTAATCTTGCTTTGTTGTAAACAAACTTGGTTATATCTAAGCATTTCTTACTTCAGAAGTTAAGTGAGCAATCTTGAATTGTGCTCTGAGTAAAAAATATCCCAGCTAGAATTTTTTTGCTTATTGCCCACATTAATTGCCTTTTTCTTATATGAAAAATGAATAAAGAAATACAAATGTCAGATGATAAGGCATTCATTCCAAACCAGAATGCTCAGCTTTTTATGCACGTGTGTATCACGAACACTGGCAGTAAAACAGTTCTCCTGGATGGTTATAAAAATCCTCTTGGTGGCTGAATGGAGATTGCCTCTTGAGCTTATGAACTACACACACAATATTTAGAAAATATCTATTTTCTAAATCTCTAAATTTGTATTTCTAAACATTTCTAAAAATTTTAGAAGTAAAATCTCTAAATTTTTCTAAAATTTAGAAATTTTCTAAAGATATTTAGAAAATAAGAAAAAAAATTACCATTATTTTTTTCCAGTGCCTGTGTCACATTAGGTATCTGATTAATTGCCTGATACATTTTGTAACAGTCCTGCAGAGTAGCTTTCTTCTGGAATTTTTTTCCTATCCGATTGAAATCTGGGAAGCGGCGGAGGAGATCTTCTTGAAGAATTTGTCTTAGTTCTCCATCTTGCATGAAGGCCTCCACCATATCTAGCCTAAGTGTAAGATAAGTTTAAAATAGACAGAAAAAAAAGTTTAGCATGTGGAACTGATTTTGAAAATCATGACACATTTTTAAATTAACTTTTAAAATGGGAACTTAAAATTAATCAGAGCACTAGGCTGGGGATAACTGTTCTAAGATGTCAATGACCATAACCATAAAGCATTTCACCATCAGAAAAACCTTTTTTGGTATAAATTTTATTAAGAGTTTAGAGCTAAGAGTTTAAAAAGAAGATAAAAACTAACAAAGATAAATACAAAGTAAAGAAAGATAAGAAAGGGAAAAGAAGCAAAAAACAAAAGTATAAAAAGATAAAAAGAAAGAGGCTTCCAATTTCCTTTGCAGCAAATACAAGTATGATTAGAAAATTATCTTGTTCTATAGTTATAAAACAGGCTCTTTTTCTATTATCTAATGTTTTCTCATCATCAAAACTACAAATCAAAAGTTCATTTTTTTCTATTTCATGCAAAAAAGTGTATAAGGGGTTTCCAGTAAGCAACAAATATAGATGTTGGCTTTTCTCTAATCAAAGAAGCCAATTTAGCCACCTCAGGAAATTCTTCACCATTCCTCCACTGTTGACAGTTTCAAATCTTTCCACTTGCTGCAGTTATATATAAAAGCAAAATTCCATAACTTTTTTTCCCAGCTGTTTATCCATCATTCCCCAAAAATAAATTGTTTGGTTTCAGAATTAGTACATTTGTATCCAAAATGTTCTGTCTGCCAAAGATTCAGCTACAGAATTCCCAAAACCATACTCCACTAACAATAATCATAATCATAATGCTGCACAATCCCCAGTAACCTGAAATTATAAAAGTTATCAACTTACATAATTCTCAATAATTCTCCAGTTATAATGAAATTATATATCTTCAATCAAGTATCATTTTCAGTATGTTTTATGAGGCTCAAAGAATATTTGTCTTTGTTTAATTACTTCATTTTGCAACCAAAAACAAGCACTAAAATGAGCCAAACTAGAATTAAAATGTTAAATCAATAATTAAAAATGCAAAAATAATTCACAGCAAAATAGAAATCTCAGCATCTATGAAACAAAACGCTAATTCTGCAAGAAATGATGTTAACTGTAAAATGCCTGCTTGGGAAAAAAGAGTGATGGAGTTAGTGTCATTTTTCAAAGCAATTCTGTTCTGGTTGCCAAATATGGTCTATTTGGCTAGCAACAGTTACCTCAAGGTATCACAGCCCACTTGCTCAGTGGAACTACCACCACATTAGACCCGTAAGCAGGATTACCGTGACAGAAATTTGCAAAAATACAATATGATCAGTCATCCACATACATTAAGCATTAAAGAATAGGTCTTTAGGTCCACCATCCTAACAAATGATCATACAGCTATAAATCATCCTGACCCCCCTTGCTATAATAAAATGTTTTTTTGTTGATTCCATGTTCAGGTGATCCAAAAGTGCCACCCTAGAAAGGACTGCATAAGAGTTGTTACAAGTACCCAAGGAAAGTGCTTGTGTTTTATAAATTGCTTCGAAACCATACAGTTCTTCTGTATATGCTGACAGTTTCAGATATGTATATTATTTATGGTTATTTTTAGTTGTTATTAGACAAACCGTGCCCCTTTGGGCCAGCTTTTCAGATACATTTCCTTACCTAAACAGAGAAACATAACGAGTGGACAAAAAAGCAGTGGAGCAGAAGCAACTTCTAACTTCCTACCAACTTCCCTATTGAGTTTCATTGTGAGAATTTGTCAGGGAGCACTGGAAATTTCCCTCCCACCCTTTCACTTCTCTTCCCAGTAGGCAGATAAGTGGCTGCTACTAGGTGGGTAGAGGAAGTGAGGGATTGCAAGACTGGCTGGGAAACTGTCACAGAACTTTGAAGAAGGAAGTCATGTGATTGCAGTAGCAGTCAGTAGCACTGAAACACCACAACCTTCCCAAATTTCATTCCCTTGGGAGTCATGGGTTGCTGATTTTGGACACATACTGTAAATTAGCCCATTTGAGGTATTCAAAAACTCTACTAGCCAAAATATCCTACATAGTTTTAGTCTGAATTAAAAGAGGTATAGAATCAAGATCCCATGCAGTGTTGATGCCACTTTATAATCCCTTGGTAAGACCACACTTGGAATGCAGTTTTGGTCAGCATGATATAAAAAAGATGTTGAGACTCTAAAAAGAATGCAGAGAAGAGCAACAGAGATTACTGGGGAAATACAGAAACATAGGAAGAACTTTTGCAGGAATTGAATATGTCCATTTTAATAAAAAGAAGGATTAGGGATGACATGATAGCAGTATTTCAATATCTAAAGGCCTCCCACGAATAAGACGGGGGTCAACCTATATGCCAAAGCACCTGAAGGCAGGGCAAGAAGCAATGAATGGAAACTAATCAAGCAGAGAAGCAACCTAGAACTAAGGAGAAATGTATTGACAGTTAGAACAATCAGTGGAATGGCTTGCCTTCAGAACTTGTGGTTGCTGCATTACTGGAAGTTTCTAAGAAGAGATTGGACAACCAATTGTCTAAAATGGTATAGAGCAGCAGCTCCCAACCTTTGGGGCACCAGGGACTGGTTCCATGGAGAGGTTTTTCTGTGGCCCGGAGAGGGTGTAATTTCAAGTTCTGCATCCAGCAGATGGGCTTCACTTGTTTGTGCGATTCGGTTTATGGCATGCTGCAGCCCATACCAGTCCACAGACAGGGGGTTGGGGACCCCTGGCATAGAATCTCTTGCTTGAATTGGGGGGGGGGGGGTTGGAGCAGAAGACCTCCAAGGACCCTTCCAACTCTGTTATTTTGTCCTTGTTTCCCTATGATGCACTGTTTTATCCACTTAAAGGTAATGATAATCAGAGTTTTAGTAATATATAATTTTGGGATTGCTTTTCAGGTGAATTTAATTCATATGACTGAGGAGAAAAGGGCTGATAGCAAACTGATAAAAATCAGTTAACATTTACAGCAAAGATAATTCCAAGGCAAACTGTTTGCCACTGTTAACCATCTGCAGCTGTAGACAGTTTTTTGTCTTTTGATAGACTTACTTAGAATTACCGTATTTATCGGCGTATAACACGCACAGGCGTATAACACGCATTCCCTTTAAGAGGGAAATTTCAGGAAAAAAATATGCGGCGGGCGCAGCGCTGACATCACGTCACGACGCTGCGCCGCCGCTAGGCACTATTGGGAACGGGATCCCTTAAAGAGGATTCCGCTCCCTGGACATCGGCGTATAACACGCATACATCATTTGCCCCCTATTTTCAGGGGGGAAAAGTGCGTGTTATACGCCGATAAATACGGTATTCTTTTGACTATAAAAATAATCCAAAACCAGGAACATCTCAAACGAATATTAGACTGGGAAGTGTAAATTTATGAACATATCAAACTATTTTACACAGATAGTAGGACTTTTAGCCAGGGTTGCTTATTTTTACTGGCCATAAATTTCAAAGTTTATTACTCAAAATGTCAGGGATTGAAGCCAAAGCTTTTCACGTGCAAAGCACTGGATTAACTTCTAAAGCAAGATTTTGTGGGCAATGCATTAGCAATATTTAGCTAACTAATTTAATGCAATGATACAATACTACTACATTGGAATGATGCTGCTGCTTTCATTTTGATTTGAACAGATACACTATAATTGTTTTCTATTTGCCAAATGGAAGTACATAATGGGACAAATGACATTTGATTAATATATGTTCAACAGCAATGACTCTCATCCTCACTAGTAGTATTCTATTTCTAGCCCCCCCCAAAAGGGGGGGGGGAGTGTTAATGCTCATCAAGCTCTCCACAGCAGAACATGTTACTGTGTATTCCTGATTCATTCAAGTCATTAAAGAGACAGAACATTTGGTCATCAATATGGGTCAACAATAACCAGTAGAGGCTTAAAGCAAGTTTTGTTTGGGAGAAAGACTCAGGCATCCAGAGAATAAAGATTAATAGGACCTGTATTAATCACGAGAAAAATCCAGTTTATGACTTTATAGGTAGTCTTTGGTTAACTATGGTAATTGGGACAGGAATTTTCATTGCTAAATTTTCATTGTTAAATAACACAGTTGTAAAGTGTTAATCATGTGATCAGCAGGGACTGCTGATCACCCTATCAGCAGTCCCTGCTGTCATTAAGCAAAGATCATGGGCCATTAAGCAAGTCCCAGCAGACCAGGAGGCAAGTTAAGGTGTGGCATCAACGTAGTGGGATAGCTGTTGCTAAGCAGGGAAAGATGCGCAGAGGGCTCAAGAAAAGCACTGCAGCTGGGAGTGGCTGTTGTGATGAGGGAGATGCACAGGTGACCTGTGAGGCATGGCATGGGTATCTTAGTGGCTGCTGCCAGGCAGAGAGGATATGTCGGTAGCTGACATATGGGAAAGGGGGGGGGGGCGGGTTGCTGCTGAGCAGGAAGGGTGCAAACAACTTACTGGAATGACTTTGAGACCTTCCCTCTCAGCTTTTCCATTGACTTTGCTTGTCGGATTCTGGCAGGGAAGGTTCTAAATGGCGATCATGTAACTGCATATTACAACAATCATAATTGAAGACAGTTGCCAAGTGCTCAGATCACTATAACAGGGCCAGGAGTACTAGGATGGCTGGAACTTCAATAGCAATATCAATAGCGCTTAGACTTCAAAGTGCTTTATAGCCCTCTTTAAGTGGTTTATGGAGTCAGCATATTGCCCCCAACAACAATCTGGATCCTCATTTAGGAAGGATAAAAACCTAGGTCAACCTTGAGCCGATGACAATCGAACTGCCGAAAGGAGGCAGTCAGCAGCAGTAGCCTGCAGTACTGGATTCTCACCACTGCACCACCACAGCTCAAGCTTCTGTCTTAAGTATCTTCATTCAGCTTATTTGTAACTGTAAATAAATAGTCATTAAACAAGGACTACCTGTATTTAAGAAGCAACTCAAATTTGGGGGGCGGGGTGTGTGCTAATATCTGTTGGGAGCCTAT